TTCTAAGGGCGACCTGACGGGTTACTCGCCAGCGGCCTGCTGGGCTTACCGCGCAGCCCACAGCTGCCTGTGGGACTGGGAGCTCTGTCCCCCGCCGGAGGGCTTTAGGCTCCAGAGCTGCCTCGCCTGCCGGCTTCGGCGCGTTCGCCCTGCTCGACGGCCCCGGGCTCACTCAGTTTAGGGATTTAGGGATTTAAGGATTTAGGGTTTAGGGATTTAGGGATTTAGGGTTTAGGGTCTCGGTTTTAGGATTTAGGGTTTAGGATTTGGGATTTAGGGTTCAGGGTTTAGGGGTTTAGGGATTTAGCGTTTAGGGCTTAGGGATTTAGAGCTTAGGGTTTAGGATTTAGGGTCCCTGGAAAGACCCTAAACTCTATAAGCCCCTAAACCCTAAACTGATTTCTTGGATCCGCAGTATTGGGTGTTTAGGCCTAGTAGGAAGGCACAGGTTTTGGGGTTGAAGGCTCAAGGAACTGCAGTTTGGGTGTTAGGGACTTAGAGGTTTGGGGTTGTGATGGGGGGCTGTGGCCGTAGGTTGCCCTTGCAGGCTTTGGAGTTCAGGAGTTTTGGATTTTGGGACATGGACCTCTGAAGGGCTTAAGGCGAACTTTCCGACAAAAGCCAGCACGAAAAGACCGTTGATGTGACAACTCCTGTACGAGCCCAATTACCTCAGAACATGGAAGCCGTGGTATCTTGGTAGACTATGTGCACGCAGTAGTTAAGCATCAGCAAGAGTAAAGGGCGGTGTGACTCTATGTCAACAACCATGAAGTCTTAACACCCTAAACCCTAAACCCTTATATAACCTCAATCCCGAACTTTTCTAACATCAAACCCTTACCCTAAACCCTGACATCTAAAGCCACAAGTTTGTACCCTTCAGGTCTCTAAGCTGAAGTTTTGGGCCCCATATACCCTAACTGAGGGGCCATATGAGCTATAGCCTAAACTCCTAGTACCAGGTTACAGGGTTTAGGGACCCTTTTAGAAACCCAATATAATCCCCGATATGAACCTCTTTTAGGAGTTTAGACTATAGCTCAAACCGTCCGTCTGGCTTCGGGATCCAAACCCCACGGTACAAAGTATAAGGGCACAAAGGTCCCTGATGTATGCTCTCACTTCTCCCTAAGCCCAATTTTCAACGAGTTCCTGGAGCTCAAGGAACACGAATTTAGGAGTTGGGGCTTAAGGTAGATGATACCTACCTCGGGGTAGAAAGCCCTAAGCCCTAAACCCGAAGCCCTCAACCGCTAAGCCATAACACAGGTTTCGGCTTTAACGTTTTGGGTTGGGACCCCTGGAAAATAGTAGCAAGGCTGATCCAGTCTCAGGACGCTTGGAACCCTCGAAAAAACCAAGCCCTGATCTCCCCTTGCCGACCACCCAACAGTCCGGCCGCCCCCCCCCCCCCCACCCACCACCCAACAGTCCGGCCGCTACCCAACGGTGAAAAACACAAAAAGCAGTTTGCTTGCATTCTGGAGCATTCTGAGAGCTCCATTTAGGGTTCAGGGTTGAGGGATTTAGGGTTTAGGGTTCCTTCCTCTCCTTCGCTCTCAAGGCGCAGTCAAGCCAGCCT